GTTAAATATGATCTCGTCATTGTAAATGACTATTTATGCCGTTACTTCCTCATGTTGTTGTTGAGCCACATCATGTTTCATAATAAATTCAATATTTGCACAGAAGAAACATCAGTGTGTGTGTAACAGGAACACATAACGAGAGAAGAAACATTTGTTACGGTCAATAGTTATAGGAAGGTGCGAAGTCCACAGTATGACTAAATGCAGCTGCCATGTTCCCTTAGTCTAGCAGACATTTTAAAGTCACAGACTTCCTGATAAACTAATAAAGGTGGCAGTAATAGACACATGTGCACGTACCAATCTGCTGCGGGTCCCTCAGGTCGAAGAAGTTCAGGAAGCACTGGTAACCCATCTGCTTGTCTGTGGAGAACATGATGATGTTCCCGCTGTAGTCGAAGCCACACGTTCTGACAGCTGAGTTGGTTTCCAGCAGAGCCAGCTGTTTACCTGAGAGACACATGGGGGGGTGTGAGGATCAACAAACTCAAACTACTGGAGGCTATGCAGAGAAAAGTCTCATAAGTGACAGATAGGAGAATTAATAAACACTTTGTTTCACCGCAGCTTCTCTCACTCACCGGTCTGACAGTCCCACAGTCGACAGCTGTTGTCGGCTGATCCTGTCAAGACATTCTTAGTGTCCCCTGAGAGAAGATAGGTTAAGGAACCCAACATAAGATAGGATAAACCTGTATTAATCTCCATAGGGACATTCAGGTGTTGGCAATCATGTGAAACAAAATACAAATATAGTAAAATCAATACATATATATACACTGTATGTCCTTAGGTACATCAATGCAAGTTGTACAAGGTTACCATTGGGTCAAGCCTTGGTTCTGTAACACATGAATGCAAACCCAACATATATTAGTTACAGATTAAACAAGTGTAGTTCTTGGAAAAGGATACAGTCACAGTCCACACACCACACGGCTCCTGTGTGTCCATTGTAGGTGCCGAGCCGCTCTCCGTTCACAGAGTACCACACGTTGGTGACCTACAGCGACACAGCACAATGGAGTTAACCAAACCAAACGAGAAGGTGTAATAATATCATGGCACGACACATTTCACGGATTATCATCTTACTGTGTCTTTAGCGACAGAGAAGAGCAGGTCTCCTTCTCTGTTGTACTTTATCTGAGTGATAGACCTCTCGTGGCCCTGGAGCAGGATGGGTCTCTGTGGGGAGAGCAGATTATGGGGAGTGTTACACAAAACGTAGGTCAAATGTCGAAGAAAAAATACAAGATTTATTAATAAACAAAAACGGTTAGTGGAAAAAACAAACTATTTGGACGTCCACAGCAAAAACAGGAAGAGAACAATTACATAATGTATGCAGATTTGCAAATAGCTCATCTGTTTACCGGTATATTGTACAGCAACCTTTTAGATATTTAGAAAAATACCTATAAGCTGTCCTCTTTAGGTAGCTCAATGTATAACCTAGATCTTCTTTTAATTACAAAATGTGGTCATTCATTGTAATATCATGTACAACAGTCCAGTTCAGACGGCCATGTATACTTACTTAATATTGGTAAAAGTAGTATAATACATTTTATTTATTCAGAGCTCCTAAAAAAGGTACTAAAAGCCACTTAACTAACATGTACGTACACATGTTTAAAAAACAACAACATTGTACTATGAACATTTTTCTTCTGCATCTTCATTTATTGTAATATAATGTACACCAGTACAGCTTAAACAGCTATGAAAATTGACTTAATATCAGTAAATGTAATATAATAATAAAGTGTATTTATATGATATTGGTAAAAGTATTATAATAATACATTTTATTTATAGAGAGCTTGTTAAATATGTATTAAACGACACCTTACATGTAAATGTTAAGATACGTAAAAATCAATGTACTTTAAACATGGTGATTGAAATAAACCCTGATCATCATCAACACGCAGCTAACAGCAGCTCTGATGTTGACGGACGCTAACTGGAAGCTAACGTTAGCCAGGGTGGATATGCTAACTGAACCGGGGCTAACTATCTCCTCAAACAGAAAGTCTAGTATTCCGATCGACATATAAAACGTAGGAGATGGTCATAAAGAAATATACTAACCATTTTGTCAGCTAAGCGTCTCGCGTAAGGAGCGAAAAGATGAACACCATGGATGGATAATAAGAACACTCGTGTTTCAGGCGCCGGAGCCGCGGCGGAAGAGGAAGGTGACGTACTTCCGGCGAACAAAGGCAAAAATGAGTTATTGCGCCCCTTGGTGTAACTCCAGTAGCGGTTAGAAAAAGAAAAAAAATGGACAGAAATGTTTGATATTACATTACATGTTAGACGCTTTTATCCAAAGCGACTTACATACTCAATACTGTGGACAATCCCCACAGGAGCAATTTAGGGTGAAGTGTCTCAGGGACACAACGACATGCTGATTGCAGTGGGGATTGAACCTGCGCCAAAGCCTCCCTATAGCCTACTGACCAATACAGAGCCACTATACTGCTTACACGATGGTGAATATGTGTACCTTAATATAAAGTGTTACCACATTTTATGTGCAGCTTTTGTATTTCTTATCAAGAAAAGTCTAAACAGGGGTCTAATGGGAGTTGGAAACTTCACCCCAAATTGCTCGTTTGGGGATTGCCCACAGTACGGACTCCGGAGTGTATGTTAGTCACTTTGGGTAAAAGCATCTTACAAGTGACATGTAATGTAATGTAAAAGTCAACAAGATCAATCAACCAGCAACACAATATACACTGTTACATCCTTTATTAACAAGAAACTAAAATATACAGGGCCAGATCAAAGTACTGCAAAACACAAAATAAGGAAACATCTTTGGTTCCTTCTCTCAGTCACTGAACCTCCTCTCTTCTTCCCCCCCCCCCCCCGACACACAGGAGCAGAGAAACAGTGAGTCTGATCTGTGGGACGTTGGAAAATGAGTTGATGTCTTGTAAACAATGCTACATATTAATTAATACATAAGAATGTCTGAAGATAAACTGACATGTGGGTCAAACTACAATTCAAAAGGCCAATAACATTTCCTCTACTTATTCCCATATGGCTCAGTCACTGCTCCTTGGAAAGTATTACGCTCAGCTGAGGCGATGAACAAGGTTTAATAATCCTAAGGTTCTGCTGTGAGACATGTCGTCGGTTTATACATTACATCCATGCAGGACAGTGGAGATGATGAGGTTACATTCTCAGCTAAGTGCTTGTCGAGTTGAGACTGCCACAGAGTGAAGACCAAAAGGCAAGCGTTGCATAGAGGTCCTCGAACATTCTCTGGTTGAAACCTGATTACACGCTACTGCAATTATCAGGGCTGGGAGGAGACAATCATAGCCACACACACTTCAAGTGGTCTGGAAGACACACACACACACACACGAATATAAATGAATAAAAAAACAGGTTTATTTTTAGTGGTGCTCTGTAAGATACATACATTTAAATAATGATTAAACAATAAATACAGAACACACAAACAAACAGCGGAAATGAATAAGTGTGATGCAAACAAGAAAACCAAAGAAAACCTTTTCCCTCAAATGGTCGACAAGCAAGAACTGGAAACTTATCAAATAAGGAAAAAAACTAACTGAAATGCCCTTTAATAATTTTGTAGAATTCTATATTATTTCTGCTATGATTTGGATCGGCTGGAGACATTATTTACTTCGTATTAAAGTAAAGAACTGGAAGAAAAACATGAAATTAGAAGCTATGAATCATACACCTTCCAAACACATTGAGAGAGGATGCAAAAGGAGACTGAGGGGCCACACACACACACACACACACACACACACACACACACACACACACACACACACACACACACACACACAAACACACAAACACACAAACACA